ACGCAGGGGACATTTACATCCATTTACATGACTGTTTTAAAAAGACAAGAGATATTCTGACTGGATTATCTGATTCTTTTAGGAAGGATTAAACTGGATAAACACTGAAGGACTAAATGATTTAGTGTCTATCAAAAAAATAATTCCCTAAAATGAATCCATAAGTAGAACTAAACCCCAGCAGCTACATCTTTCTGTTGTTACAGTTTAAGTAGGGGATGCTGTGTGGGTTTTTTTAAAAAAAAAAGAGAAATGTAGCCCTGAGAGCAGAATGAGACATTTAAAAAAAAATTGTTTCCAAGGTGGTGGCAAACTTTTTTTTTTCTACTTATGCACGCCTAGAAAGTTCATGATGTGCACAGAGATTGCAGTGGTTGTGCACTGATTGCAGGATATAAACGTCATCGCCCCTGCTCGCTCACTCGCAGTGACTTTTCCTGAATATTTCCTGCTGCATCCTCACTTCACTCCACCCTAACCTCATGCAGAAAATGTACAGGGGGCTGTCAAGTCAAATTCCATCTATAGTGGGGGTGAAAAATTCAGCTGTTTGCATTCACACATGTTGCTTTTTTTTGTGCATTTGTGAAATGGGCTCATGAATAACTAAAACATCTTTAACTTTAACTTCAGTTATAATTATTGGGACAGAAACTGGGACAAAAAAGTAAAGAAAAAGTAAACAACGGTTTTGATGTAATTGAAACTTTATGAAAAATATATTTTTATTTGACAAATTGTCCCAATAACTCGTGTTACACAAATCTTTTCCTGGTGGTTATACACACACATGGATTTGATTTTTGTAATTTTAATTTTTGATTAAACCAAAGTAAAGAACAATACTGAGTAAAAGTCAAAGCTCCTTCAGCAGCGAGACTGATGCAGGTCTGTCAGGACTCAGATGTCGGATGTCTCAGATGTCGTTCACACTCTTCTTCATCATCATCAGTGTCCTCAGCTCGTGTCACTTCCTGTTAGAGATTATGAAAAAAAAACCCAGACAGATCACAGATGGAGAATCTAACATGAAGACACCAGAAAAAAAACAGACTGTGATCCCAAAAAAAACCCCAGAGAAATCATGAATGAATGCATGAAGACTGCTTATATAAATCTATTAACATATTAAATCATGCTTGTTATGTGAATATTTGGTTTGTTTATTTTAAAATGGTTTTGCTTATTCATGATGAAACATGGTAAAAAAAAAAAAAAAGAAGAAAGAAGTCATCATACAACAGTTACACAATTTACTCAAATCAGTGCATTGTGAAATACACAATCACAATTCAAGTCTGTATTTAAAAACAAACCTTTCACTCAAAATACAGGATGGCGATAAATAATCAAAGTAAAAGTATAAACTGTGGAGTTATATCCGAAATGACAGATTTTTTAGTTTTAGATGATTCAAACCACTTCTGCAAAACGACCTTTTGAGATCTTTCACTGATTGAATATCTTCTTTCCTCCCTTCATTCGTCCATGAAGAACTGCAGTTCCTTTTTGTCCCAGCAGAGGGAGCTGTAAGCAAACATAATGTGAGGCGATGCAGCTTTTGAGCTGTGAGGGAGGGGAACTGATGTTTCAAAATGACTAAAAGCTGTTTTCAGGAGATGTGGAGGATGTGATACTATAGTGAAAGTAACAACACCATAAAAGGATTGTTACAAGTTTAATGTCCTGCAGTGAAAATGTCACTAAAGTTGAAGTCAAATGAAGCTTAGAGAACAATATAACTAAAAGTACTTGATGCTGGAGAATGTACCCTGTGATTAAACTATTATCATACATCATTAATAAAGAAAACCAAGTGTTACCAGACAAAGAAAAGGTGTTTCCTCAGCAGTTCTTTTGGGTGATCATAGTGCTATATAACACCTCTAATGGCTCTACATCATTTGACAAAGGTGCTATATAGCACCTTTAAAAATAGGTGCTATATAGGCTACAGTAGTGTGTTCTTCAGGTGCAGAGTTTTGAAAACCTGAAGAAGACCTCTGGTCGAAACATTGTGATTAATAAAAACCTTTTTTAGTGGCATTTGAGGCAGTGTGCGGGTCTACCTTCTTCTTCTTCAGTTTGCTGTTTTTGCACTGCCCTGCACCGATACGTGATGTGCGAATAACTACCTCCTTTTTCTCTGCTATATACAGTAGCACCTTTAAAGATAGGTGCTATATCCAGCGTCTATCAAAAATGATTCTCAGTTCATTCAGGACACTTGAGGAACTGCGGTTCCTCAAGTGTCTGCCTCTGCTCAGAGGTTGCTGCTTGTGTTCACCTCCCCATGTTGTCTTGTACTTGTCAAAGAAACATGATGTGATGAATTCAGCTTTGTTCACAACAGATGAAAGGTCAGATCTCTAAGTAATAAAAGTAAACGCTGCAGCTTTGCGATATTACTTTCCCTGAACAATACGAGGCCGTATTTATGCCAAACTAAAGTCTTCACTTTGACCCTGATGGCTCTCCTCCAGCTCAGTCTTCCTCACACACCTTCGTCTCCAGACGGGATTTCCTGTCTGAGGGAGGGGCTGTGTCTCAGGAACCCCACCCCCCGCAAACCCATCCCCCCCAACTGACACCACCGCCCAGCACAGATACTGGGATCTGTATTGGGAAATATGAAGGAAGCAGTGACAGACTCTTCATATTTAACTGCTTACCATTCTTTGTTTCCTGCTTTCATTGTTTCCCATGAACAGGAAGGATGATCCTCACACAACCGTCACTGCTGATCTTAATATTCTGAATTCTTAATGTACTTTTAAGGGCATGAAGCCTAACAGGCAAGTTCTTCAAGGCATCACATTAGTGTAGAGTGGGTTTGAACCCTGAACGTGGCCTCCTGTGTGAAGATCCACACTAGAGTGTGGATCGTGATTTTGAACAACCTTATATTGTGGAAAGTACATAAACTCTACTACAGTACACACCGACAGGCAGCACAGTGGTATAGTGGGAAGCATTACTGCCCAGTGTGAAGGGAGAAGGAAATGCAAAGGCATAACTTTCTCCACCGCTAAGAGGAAGCTTGCACAATTTAAAACCTTTGTGTGTACAGTGTGTCGGGAATTTAGGTTTTTAGGGTATTTTGCCTTCACCAAAAAGATGTAGTGAAACAAAATCTGCAAGAAATAAGTCCTTATTGTGGATTTTATAAGAAGGCTTTGTTTACTTGTCAAGATGGCTTGTAAATCTTAAAAAAAAACAAAAAAAAAACAGGTCGGCAGTCTTTATCTGCTGATATTGAGAAAAATGTCCATGATTATTGATCTGTACTTCTCTGGCCGCGGGTCTGATGAACTTGAACATCCTCTGTCAGCAGTTTGAGCTCCACATTCTGACTCAGCAGCTAAAGAACGCAGACGACTTGAGACCTTAGCAGACAAGACTCTGAGGTAAATAAAGTGATTTTAATGTGTGTGTGTGTGTGTGTGTGTGTGTGTGTGTGTGTGTGTGTGTGTGTGTGTGTGTTTCTGTCGGTAGGAATTCAGGCTTTTTTGACCTCACAGTCTGAGAGACAGCGTAGACCAGAGATCCTCTCTGAGCCATCAGAGGATGACTCCTGGTTAAACAGACAAGCTCAACACAGCTGTTACCCCCAGAAAAATACCTCAGGTATGTTAAACAAAGACAGAGCAATAACTCAAGAACTGCATTGAGGTACTTTACAGGACATTTCCACCAATACTACCTTATACTCCACTTTCTTACAGAGTAATATTTTACTTTTTCTCCAGCACAGCTCAATACACAGGAGAAACATCAGCAGCCTGTTTTAATAGTTACATAATATAAAACTCGTTCTGAACAGTAACTCTGTGCCTGACCTGGATCAAACTTCAGTTTAAAACCCTTCTGTCCAAGGTTAAACTGGAAAAGTTATTTCTGACCCTTAGCAGTAAATCTGTCTGTGATCTCCGACGTCCTGAAACTCCAGGAACAGAAACACCAACAGCTACACAAACATGAACTTGTGACCTAAAGACAAGTGTTGTCGCCTTGTTTGACCCGCTGACACGATTGTTGTATTTACAGTACACGCAGTAGTAACAATGAAGCTGGAGTTTGCTCATTTAAACGAGTTAAAAATCGTAATAGCACAGTATGCTGATGACATGCTCCTTACCTTTAGAGAAAACGTTTCAGTTGCATCTAATTACAGCTAATAAGCTAATTAGCAGAGTAGCTAAGAAGCAGCTTGCTGGTTAGGAAGCATTTACTGTCTACATTAGAACACATACATGACCTTACATTTTTCTTGCTGTGGCAATTTGGATTTTTTTTTTGGAAGAAAATAGATGAATATTAATGGACAAAGCCTGAGTGATGTCACCCATCTGTTTCGACAGACGGCTCTGGAGGCTCGTCAGTGTTCAGATTGTTATTTTGAGTGTCTGACCACATCACAGAAAGGCTCCCTCCAGAGTAAGACCTTTTTGTTCAAGAGGAAGACTCTTTTTCAAACATTTAACTTCACTAAATTCACGTTAGCACTGTTTTTGAGACGCATGCATTAGTGAAAATGAGCAACAGCTGTTTCTTGTTAGCTTTGAGTTTAATGCTTATTCCTCTCTGTGATGAGGTGGAGTACAGGTACAGGTGAAAAAACCTGCAACGAACTGAAAAACTCGTCCAAAAAGCATGCTTATAAACATAAAGGTTCACACTCAGGGAAATGCTGTTTAAGAGGATTTCTGTTTAAAAAAAGCAGCAGGAAGCTTCACACTCAGCAGCTTTAGGTGTGTTTACACTTTAATTACAACCTCAGATGTGCTCACAGATATTCGACTTTTGCAGCATTTTGCAGCAAGTTTATGCCGATATAAAACACAGAGGCTGAACTGTGCAGAGAGTCAGCGGAAAGAGCTCAGCTGGAAACCACAGAGGCTATAAACAGCTGACGGCACACCCAGAAGCTCCACCCGCACACACAACACAGACACACACACACAGATGGAGAGAGAAAACAAATATCCAGCAGGTTTTTGAAGACAAAATATTATTTATTCAATAGTTTCAAAAAAATACTGTGAATATAAATATTACAAAAAGGAATACTTTGTGTGTCTTAATACTAACACTGTGTACATTTCACCAACAGGCGGCGGCAGATTGTTGCTCTGCCGTGTTGAACACTCAAGACATTTCTGCATTTGAACCATCGGCTGCTCTGTTCAGAAACCCGGACATTTAAGATTTTAAAGGAACAGTTCAATACTTTTTTTTCAAAAAACAGTCCTGATGTAGAGTAGAGAGACGGAAAGATCTGCGTTAGGCTCTGGAGATCAAAAAGAAAACGACGACTGCTAAAATGAAAATATCTGATTACATTGTGAATAGCAAAAAAAAATGAAATGAAAGTAGTTTGAGATGTCTCTGCTTCCTTCCCATGTTCCGGGAATGTTCTATAATTGTGATTAAAAGGAAGAAAGTAGTGCCAGCAGGAAGCAGCCTTCCTCCTGGATGTGTAAGACGCACGTTTATTGCAGTGTACAGACACAGTTTCACAGTTTATCAGTCATAAAGCCATAATGATTTGAAAACGTTTCCAGTTTATTCCAAGAGGCCGATCCCGGGGCAGCCTGGTGGTTATGTCGGACAGAGAGCTGTGGATTCAGACATTTAAATAGATGTCTCACTAATGCCAAAGACGGACTGTTTTCTCCCAACATCCTCCCTCGTGGGTTTTTTTTTGTAGACTTTGTTTACTGGCCGGACAGAAGCTGGGCAGCAGAACAGATTTAAAATAGTTGTCCTTACACACACACTATGGCCATAAACACATAGTCCACATGGTCCTGATGCATCAGATGATTGTCTCAACAATTCTGAAATGGAAGCAGGAAGTGTGTTTCCTTTGGTAGAGAAATTCTGATTCTGGATTCAGCAGGAGGATGAACTGAACATCCCGCAGAACTCGTCGATCGTCATCAGCAGCTCGTGTTTCAGCACTTGGTCGTTATCGAGCCCTTGCTGTTTGTCTTTGAGTCGATCTTTGCCACCAGCAGCCTGAGAGCGTCTCCTGAGGAGCGGATCAGCTCTCTACCTCTGAAACAGAGACACACAAAAAGCTGTGAACACGCATACACACACAGAGACACACATGAACACACAGAGACGAAACAGTGTGTACTGAAATACTCACGTGTTGTACTCCATGCCCACCAGGCTGATGCCGTTCACGGCGAGCACTCGGTCTCCTGTTCTCAGCTTCTGACACTGAGCAGCTGGAGAGTCGGGAACCACCGACTTCACGTAGATGCCGCTCATTCTCAGAGGAGTTTTCTACAGAAAGATTCAACGAGAAATGTAAAGATTATTTATTTTGACAAACAGCATCAAGAGAGCGTGATGAGGATTGCTTCTCTACTCTCACCCACACAAAGAAAAACATCTCAACAACTGTTGCTTTTATGACTTTCTAAATGTGGTTTTCTTTTGCAATTAACAAATTAAAAAAAGCAAATGATCACATTCTATACGTAAACCATTTAAGTTTGAGCATTATTATTTTGTATCAAACCCCTTTGTGTGGCGCTTCTGGGTCTAATTCTGGGTCTAGTTTTGCCTATCTGTGTGTTCGAGTGAGTGGTCTGTTGTCTGTGAGGATCTTTGGCTGTCATCCTGCAGGCGACTCATCCTGATAGGTGGAAGTCGTCCTCATCCACAACAGCTAATCATTCCAAACACTGTTACTTAAAAAAAATAAAAACTTCACTTATAATCGAAAATTTTTTGCTGTTTAATTTCCGATTTGGTTTTCAGTCCTCGAGGGAATTATCGAGACGCAGATTTAACACTGGTCATTTAAGCTCTAATAAAGAAAATATAAAATCCCAAACAGTTGTACTAAGTGTTTCTAAAATGTCTCACAGTAACATATAAGCTCCCCTGAGATCACAGTCTGTCAGCAGGAACTTTAGTGTACGTAGATGTTGTTCTGTCAGTGTGTTCAGCTGAAATCTGTTTATAGTCTGATCTGATTATAGATTTAAGAAGCTGCTGAAGGTTTTTTCTTTGTCCGGATTACACTGTGAGAAAACAAAAGCTGATTTAAGAAAATAGGATAAAAGTCAGCCTTTAAGTTCTTTTCATACAACTGTACCTAACCATTCCCTCATTCCCTTGTGATAAATACATATTAGGGATAGAAGAAAAAGAGGTATTTTGCAGAGAAGTCATTTTCGCACCGTTCCATCAACCAGGGCCAGACCCAGACCGCGAGGTCCTCGGTGCAGCTCCACGGTGAACACTTCCTCACTTTCTTCTTCTTCTTCTTCTCTTTCTCCATCGTTCTCCGTCTTCTTCTCTACACGTTCACTCGCTGAAAAAACAGGAAAAAAAGAAGTTTACATCAACACAAAGTGGTCCAACAGAAACCAGCACACGAACTGGATCGATACAGTGACTCAATTCCCTTCAAAACTCTTTATCCTCATTTAGGCCTTTTAGAACAAGAAACAATCTGTATTCAATCTAAAAAAACAACAACAAATAAATTAACTGATCATCAATGATCATTATTTTCATATTCATCACCATCATAAGGATGTTAGGACTGTCAGTGTGAGCATGTTAGCATTAGCGTCATCTCTATAATCCAATCGTGGTTGTTACATTTATCAGTCAGGAAAACAAAATAATCAAGAATTCATAATCCTTCATTCATGGGGACTTCCTTAATAAATCAAAAAGGCTAGCATGCTAACATGCTAATCTATAAGTCGACAGGATCAACATTATACACAAAAATCAGTAGGTCAAGATATTTTGTTTAAAACGTTAATAAGTTAACTCTTTTCGGCGTCATGTCTTCATCAGATTTTCAAGCATGCGGGTCAAACGCGTTGTTTGAGTATGCTAACGTCTGTTTTTGCGTTTGTATGCTAGCACACTTAACTAGATTGTATAATTAAAATTATACCACCTAAAAATGAGCATTTAAGAATTGGAAATGAAATTGCGAGAAAAGTATTTTCTTAAATAAGCAATTAGCCTAAAGTCTCACATTGTGCTAGCATGTCTGTAGTTCCTTGGTAAAGTTTGGAATGATTGTCGTAATAACGGCAGCAAAGCTAACTAAACCCAAACTAAATGTTGTTACTCATCATGACTGTGTTTTCACTCAGTGGACTCATCTTTGATTCACAGCAAAGTCTTTGAATTCTTTATTAGTACGTCACTATGTGGATTGTTAGCTTGTTAGCCTGAGCAGTCGTCACTGAATGTGGACAGGTTAGCATGCCGTTAACCCTTCAAAGGGACTTTCCGTCTCATGTGGGGTCGGTCATTCTGTCACTACAACAACACAGCAACAGTAGCTTCCTAATAAAACCTGTTCCCACCCTGTAGACCCCCCCATGCGGCCTGTCTGCCCCCCACGCAGGACCAACCCCGAACAATGCCGCCCCCCGATTAAGATTCCACGCACCAAGCCGACTGTAAATTCCCATGACGGGCTGCCTGGCTCTTTTCTCTCCTGACATCACTACCTCGCTGTGATTCTTGGGGCCAGATTAAAGGATTAGCAAACTTTCAAAATAACATTAGCTGTTAGCCAAAAAACCACAGAGAAGCAGCTACTGGAGCTCAACTCAGGGTGTAAAATTCACAAAAAATCACAAGGACTTTAAACTCAGGTTAATTTACATGACTTAAATATGATGAGTAAACCAAGATTTATGTATAACAGAAAAAGTGGGACTTAATTATCATACAATTGAATACTAAATGTATTAATCAAGGTGATAAATATTGGGTAAAAATCGAAGAAAATCTTATATATAATGTTAGTGATGAGTGTACCTTTAATCTTTTTCAAGCTTAAACTCACTAGTAATTATTTTAACAAATTCATTATAGTTCTGATAATTTCTCAATTATGTCATCAAATCTCATTTTCCCCCAAAATATATTGAATCCACCAGGATGTAGACATGAAAAGTTCATTTTCAAATAAAAAAATCACATTACATAAATACACTCATGCTCAAATTGACGTTTCAAAATTGATTAAATATGTAATATATATGATTTAAATATAATTTCAAGGCTTCAAATAAAATGTATTTTAATAAACTACTTGAATAATTGATTCAACAGCAAACACTCAGCATATTGAAACGTATTCAAGTGTTGAATGTTAAACCTGTTTGATCAGATTTACGTGCAGGTTTTGTGACAGAAGGTTTTTTCTGTGTAATCCTCAAACTCTTTAAAGAAATTACTTTTATCATCAGAGAAAACCTAAATAATCAAGTGACCAATGAGAGTAAAGAACTCTGATTTAGATCAAATAAATCCCTCTGACTAAAGACTTCTGAGACACACACACTCATGCACGCACGCACGCACAATGGGGGGTCTGTAAGGAGCATTAACACAGGTTGAACCTCTTACAGTCAAACAAAATCACATGTGACAGAAAGTGTTGGGGTAAGAGGGGGGAGGGGTTTGAATTAGGATCAAGCTTTAGATCCTGAAAGCCGTTTTCACATATGCACTCCTGAAAATATCTAGATAATTTCAGGAGGACTGCTCTGGATGTTCTCCTGACCTGGCTGTTCACATATGCTCCTCACAGTGGGAGACTATACCCTGTCGGACAGGGAAGGGTGGCAGGGTCTCCTGAGGTAAGACATGATGTGAAAAGAGTCCACTGTAAGATGCTATAAAAAGAACATTTGCCTTTATATCAATACTATGTGTAGTTTGACAGAATCGCAACGTGCACAAACGTCACCACACCCTCTCGCCTGCTGGAGGTGAATTCTCCTCATTGTGTCCTTGCTGTGTTCTCCCATCAGCTCACTCGGACTTCATGAGAAAAAAATAAATACTAGAAGGCTGGAAGGAGAAACTCCGGATAAAGTGGGAGTGAAAAATGTGGCTGTTTGAGTTCACATGTGCAGCTCGGCCTGAAGACTTCAGGAGTTTTGTGCAAGAATGAAATTTCTAATAGACAGGCAATCAACCTGCATATATTGAAATGTTGCATATGCATATAGTTAAGTTTCCTGCACAGGAGGAACATTTTTCATTTGGTGTTTATATAGTCCTTTTTAATTTGCAATTTTCAAACACAGGACTTGTACACCTTTGTTATGCTTCACCAGGCGTGGTTGTCCACCTCTTGTGTAATGGGTGAAACAGCATCATTATAAAACCTCAGAGGTGACAGGGTGGAACTCTGCTGTGTGTGGGTGTGTGTGTACATGTGAAGCTCCTGCTGTTTGTTTATACATCATGCCTCTCAAATCCATGAGGCAAAGTCAAACCAAACACTGGGCCAAGACTCCCACGCTGTTGTTGATTCAATGTAAAAGTACAAAGGCGTAATGAGGGGCTGTTGCAGACTTGCAAAGGGCTTATTTTTGACCCAAAGCTGGAAATCAGAAAATGCAGCTTCCAGTGAATACCAGAGACTTTGCATTTCTCCTCCCATCCCTCAAGAACTTGAAGGGTGATCAGAATATGTGACTCTCACAGATACAGGTGCCTTTCTAAAGACATCGCTTCAGGAAAAAAAAAAGACTTTGCTGAGTAACAACCCCAAACAGTGTCAAAGTGGATTGGTAGTCAAACACTGACTCTTTCTCCGACAGATGAGCTCATGGCGGCGACCAGAAACAATGAGGGTGGAGAGGAAACACTCTTTCCTGCACGGCAAGCCCTCCCTGTTCAGACTTTCCTCTTTAAATTCCTGAGCTCAGACTCAAGGAAAAATCCTCTTTCATGTCGGGGGGGGGGGGGGGGGGGGGGTGAACCTTTAAGACGGACCTGGACCCGCCAGGGACAAATATGCAGCGGATCCAAAAGGTCAAGTCACTAAAAGTTTTCTGAAAAGACGTCAGAGGGCAAGAAAGAGAGAGAGAGAGAGAGAGAGAGGAGGAGGTTTAAGATATGACCTTACTCTGAAGAAAAGGTTTCAGTGACAGAGTGGTGTGTCACTCTGATCACAACCTGCTGTGTGTGTGTGTGTGTTTGAAGTCATGAATGAGCCTTTGTGATGCTGTGCTTGTCATCGTGTTTGAGGTTTTTGAGGTTGGAGCTGTATTCTGTGAGTTCAGGTTTCGGTTAATATTCTGCAGCTGCTGGCGGCTCCAAAACAACTTTCTGTTACTTTAAACTGTTTTTAACGGAATGAACGAGGTCAGAGGTCGCTACCTCTGCTAGCTGCATGGATGTTATCGTCCTTCCACTTTTTTACCACACTGGAGTATTTTAACTACAATTTCAAGTAAGATCTTTGGATCTTTGTCATTTCCCACTCTTCCTCCCCAATGTCCGACTCTATCCACTGTTCTATCCACATAAGTCATAAAACCCCAACACCCACAAACTGTCATACAGCTGACAAGCGTTCTCTCCACACCATGCAGGTTTTTGTATTTCTCTTCAGTTACCTCTCTTCAGCTGACGTGCCCCCTCCTGCAGGTCTGCCTCCAGTTCGGCCAGCTCAAGGCCCTGCGGGGTGTTTGGTGGGGTCAGCAGGCAGGACGGGTCCAGAGCCAGGCTCTTGTGGTACACCAGATCCGCCTGTCCAGGGAGCGAGTTCTGCAGCTCTAGACTCTTCAGTTTCTGGGTCAGGACCGCCTCGCAGCTACTCAGGTCACCGTGAGAGCCCCGGGTCTGAGCCGGCTCAAAGGCAGAGAGGTGGTCAAGGTCGGGCTCGGGGGAGGGGTCGGTTACCGGGTCAGAGCCCGCGTGATGGGCCGTATCCTGGAGGACCCTGACGGAAGGTGAGGTCACAGACGGGCTGTCTGTTGTCCCGCTGAGAGTCTGTGAACATAAAAAAGGATCAGAACCAGATGCGGAAACATGAACACGCCTCACTTCCTGTCTGCCAGCGTGTTTACCTGGTCCTCCAAGACGGGCTCAGGTTCAGATTTACTGTTGGGGAGCTGGCGGATGAACTCCTGCAGGTGAGTGACCTGCTGGAAGAGGGTGGGGTCAGCGAGGGGTTTCCCAAGCTCAAGGTGGAAGGAGGAGCTGGGCAGGACGAGGGGGGGATGACTGTCGAAACTCTGGAGGATGTCGGCTGCAGAGAAGGAGAGAGAGAAATATTTGAGCAATAATAAAATATTAAATTGTTAAAACGGGTAAGAGTTTATTCAAAGCAGATTCAGAGCTGATTCTGGATCAGACCACGGGGATTTATCTTCGCTCTGAGAGGTGAACACAGGTGAGAGCGAGGCGAGTGCTGGATTAAAAGGTCAACTGTGGACAGAAGCTGATTGGTGGAGACAGACTGACGAGATTAGAGTCTGAGAGGAAGGAGAACACTTAAAGATGTTTGTGTTGGTGTGTAAAGGTGAACTCTTGTTATAGTTATCGTCATTATATCATCCGGCTAAATGTGCCGACAACTGTGTGATAATTCCCTCAACACACCAACTTTATTTTAGTCCCAAAGCTGTCAGTGTTTACACAATAAATAAAACACATATTCTGATTCCTATTTGAGTAACAGAGTTTTTCAGATAAAGAAATCTTTTCATTCTAAAGCGTCGTCCTTTTCTCTCATGAGATGTTTATTTAAAGTCCTATTTTATTTCACAAAGTTGTCTTGTAAATTAAAGGTATAATATGTAGAATTGTATAAGAATGTTTACATTAAAATATCTGAATTAATAAAAATTTTACTAAACTTATGTTATATTTTTTGTTGTTGTTGAGTACTTACATTACCTCGAATATTAATAACAGTTATCAAAGCCAGAGAAATCCCTCATTTTATAGATGAAACGAGATGCGTCTTGAGATGTGCCAGCAGAAAGAGATACATTTTTTGGCTTTTTGTGCCTTTATTTGAGAGATAGGAAAGTGGATAGAGTCAGAAATCAGAGAGAGAGAGAGAGTGGGGAATGATATGTGGGAAAGGAGCCACAGGTCGGATTTGAACCTGGGCCGCCCACTTGAAAGACTACAGCCTCTGTACATGGGGCGCGCGCACTAACCACTGCGCCACCAGCGCCCCCCAGAAAGACATTTTTTTTGTCATAAATTACCACTTACACATGGACAAGGCTAAATCAGCATGAAGATGCCGCTTTGTCCACAGGGGGCGCCAAAATCAACACATGAGAAACATTCTTCACAGGAGCTTTAAAACATTAAAATTGAGCTTTTTCATAAACTTCCAAGACTGAACAAAGACAATCTGAAAGTCGAGTGACTTAAAAAGCAAGAAGCTGCTTATTTGATGGTTCTCTGAAAAATTGAATTTAAAAAATGTGAATTTTGTTTCTGTTCGTAAAGAAATGAGCTTCCTCTACCGGAGGGTTTACGCCTCTCTGTCTCTTACCTGTCCTGACTGTGTCCTTCACGTCGTCCGGTGATGGTGTCCAGCCGGGGGGGCAGGATTTACCCGAGCTGTACTCCCTCAGCATGTGGTGCAGCTGAGCCGGATTCAGAGCGGAAAACTCAGCCCTGAGGGACGCCCAAGACGCCTGGAAGGACAGACAACAAAGAGACACAGACACTGAGACACATGGAGCAAAGAAAATATATGATTGAGTCTTTTTATTGTTTGATGATCAGAAGGAGCCAAAGCAGCTCTCTCTAGTCTCTGTGCTGACAATAACAGGCTGGGACAAACAAGTTTTTTTTTTCCCATCATGCCTCTTTTCAAACAGTCATTGCTCCTCTCTCATTAACATCTCATTATCTTCAACAGTTACATGATCTGACAAAAAAGGTTTTGTTTCTGTCACCACAGGGCGAGATGTGGCAGCAAAGCCTCCTGGGAGAATATTTCTCAGTCTGTCTGTCTCACATCTCCACAGCTTGTCTTCAAAGCTCCATAGCTCGGAGATCATTTTGGATTCAAGGTGAGTTTATTGTAATCAACACGTAATTGTTGTTGTGTGTGCAGCGTGAGAAAAGTGAACTATCTCTCCTCCTCTCAGGCTGATGTGATGTCATGAAATGTGATGACTTCCTGGCAGCTCGCGCTCACTGAGAAAGAAAAACTTCTATCTCTTAATGTCAGAACACAGCTGGAGGATATGAAACAAGTGAGTCACATGCAGGGGGATCCACCATGTGCTTATTAAAGACAGACAGTACGAACAGTTCAGTCTGTCTGCAGCTGAATCCCTGGATGAGGATTCTGCCCCGACACGTCTGGGCCACGACACATGAAAACATTTTTAATGTAGTCGCTGCTCTAGTCAACGACACGCTGAGCTCAGCAGAAGGAGTTTAAATGCTGCCTATAAACAACCAGAATATAAAAAACTGTCAGTTTGTTATGTCTGAGATTTCATGTTCAGTAGTCTATTCTCCAAAAATATCTCCTCAAATGTTTTCTCCGCCAAACAAAGTGCCACATCCCTCGGCTGCCGTTTAAATCAGCACCACAGAGCCTCTTCAGATCTTTAAAAAAAAAAAAAAAGTCCAAATTGTCCAGATGGAAACTTAAGAATGTGTGCAGGGTGTGTGCTCTGTGTGCCGCCACAGTGTGTGACCTCATGCAGGGCGGAGAGGCTTTAAAACCGGCAGCCTCCTGACAACCATCCAAAACCCACAAACAGACGAGACGCAGCGCTGACAGCTGTGAGGAGACGACAGGAGCCATACATGGAAACAGGTGTCACCTCGGAGAGTTGAAAATCTGGGCTCCAGTTTAACCCAGATCCTCCAAATAGAGAAGATTCCACAGACGGAGCAAAAAATAGCATCAGCTTGGAATCAACGAAAATATTTAAATGACAAAACATCATGAATCATACAATCCTTCTACTCTGTTACACATTTTCAAACAGGGCTTCTTTACCTCGGGCTGTACATGTGAAGCTGTCAGCGAGGACACGAGAATACAAATCAACTCCACTGAACTCAACTTAAAAACACAAACTGCTTCAAACATTTGATAAGCTTCAAATTATTTTAAAACAGTCTTCATTTTTAGTTAAACAAAATGAACACCGGAAAGTTATTTTAAAACAGTTGACTTTGTAAACTAGAACAATTATTGGATACACAATTTATCAGTCAACTCAACCAGACTAATCCAAATTATGCACGTTATTAATAACTCACAGGCTGTGTCAGCCTACCACATACACAAACAGTATCGACTGCACACTGCAAAAAAAAAAACAGACCATTAGCACGCTGTTAGCAACATGCCAACAGGTCATCAAACACACTTCTCGGTCCAAACTGGATAAGCTGCTAGCACCAAGGGGGTCAGCCCTATGTTCCCACAGCCCTATGTTCCCACAGCCCTATGTTCCCACAGCCTATGTTCCACATTTCTAAGAGTTTTAGTCCCTATGTTCCCACAGGGTAGGGTTAGGTTAGGTAGGGGGCGCAGTGTCCTCTGGGGGATGCTACGAGGGGCACGGGCACTCGGGGGACAGGCTTAGGGTCCTTACCCTAACTGATACAAATTTATGAAAAGAAAATGTGGGAACATAGGGCCTAGTTTTTAAAAAAATCTTAGAAATGTGGGAACATAGTCACGCTCCCACACCAAGTTAGCACCAAGCTAATGCGACCCTCGGTACATAAATAGAATAAAACAACATACATACGTTCTAACACAGCTATGTAGTTACTTTAATATCATTAGACAACATATAAAACATATTACTTTTCAAACAAACCAGCACTACATGACTAGCATCATGGTGTTCTTATGATCCTTTCCTTTTCACTGACAACGTTAGATTTATTTATGGATCTTGCGCAATATGAGTAATCTCCAGAGAGTGTGAAAATGCATCGTACGATATCGTAGTGTCACGCGACTATATAAACATTCAGCATCGTCACTTCACGGACACAATAAACCTGTGAGTCAGGAAAAGAGTTGTAATTGTGTAAGCCTGACCTTCAGAATGACCTTTGTTCACCTGCCCTCTCATACCTGTGTACGTCTCATACCTGTGTACCTTTCATGTATCGATTTCTCTCTGAATGCCTGTGAGAGTTAAATAAGCCGCTCAACTTCCTCCCTGGTTCACAGTGGAAACAGGATTAGAATGGGTAACTAAGAGAGCGCTGTGATTAAGGAGATTAGATGTTTGGTTGGCTAGCTACCACAGCTCAGCACACACCAAACACAGAGAAAAACAAATATAAAGTGCTCTCTTAGCGGAATACAGTATGAGTGATTCAGTTTGTTTTGGCCAGGCGGATACACACACACACACACACACACACTGTGATTTCAATATGTGTGTGTGTGTGTCTTTGAACATTAAAAGGACATTTGATGTCGAAGCTGAATGTTTCCACTTCATGCAAGAATGAATTTGATTTCAGCTGAAACTATCTGACACAAACACTGTTTCACAAGATATAGTCAGGTCTGTATTATTATTTACACTATGACATCATGTGTTGTTGGATTAGGCAGTTGGAGCTCTATTTTTAGTGCTACTATAACCATAAACTGATAAGGCCGGTGAGTCTTTATGACAGTTTTACGAGTTTATCTTTGGCATCAACAAGGAGCATCATAAAAGACGAGTAGAAACAGTGCTGCAGTCAGAAAGGTTTGGTGAGTTTCAGATTTCCTGCGTTTTGAACCTAACACACAAACACAGAATATTGAAGTCGCTGTGACACTTGTAAGACCATGAAAATGTTCATGCTGACGCAGACATGACTCGACTCCGAGGGTTACACCCGCCCGCTGCGAGACAAACAGGAAGGAGAAGTGGGTGATTTCTGACCTGCAGGAGGGTTTCTCTGGGCGTGGCCAGCAGATTGACAGCAGCAGAGAGCTTCTGGAAGAACTCCGTGGCCAGTTCTCCCAGTCCGATACTCTGGATCCAGTCCATCAGCAGGTCCAGGTTGGCCCGGATCTGAACCCCACGGGACCACTGGTAGAACCCTGACACAGATCCTAGAGGATAAATACACCTGATGTTTAGAATTGCTACATGATTTTAAAGGCAACATAGCTCATAATCAGTAGAGACAGTTTTTACAATAAGAAAAATAAACGGGAGGTAAACAAAGAAGTATTAACAGCAGGAAAGACCTTGTAGCTACATGTGGCGGAACACATTGTTCATCTGTTGTAAAAGTCCTTCCCCAGGTTAGCGTGTTTGTCCAAACTGAATTTCATTGCACTCACTTCAAACGGTGTTGGGAAAGTTCAGTCTGAACTCAAGTAGAGGAACTCACACTTCTCAAAAACTGGAGAATCAAAATGAAAAAGTCAGGACTTGTAAAACATGAAACTAAAGTGCTACCTCTCTCCATGAGGGTGTTGAACAGCGAGGCGTTGATGAAGAAGAACAGGTAGGCAAACAGCTGTAACGAGATGTCTGTATGGACCTGGAAAGCGGTCAGGAGCTTTAAGGCCTCCTTCAAAACCTCCAGGATGCTGCTGAGTCCGTCAGGAACCCTCAGCTGACCGCTTTCTGAGAACGGGTTCCCCTCCAGCAGGCCACTCAGTGCCGAGTACATGCTCTGTGGGAGTACAGAAACACTCATTATAGGAAGATATTCAAAGAGTACAAGAAAGCTTTGATGGAAAGTTGCACATCACAAAGGGCTAGTGTTGTGGGAAAAAAATATTAATAGATTATATTCCAAAATAACTATTTCTGATTCCTGTGTACAAAACGTTCAGCTCAGCTATATGATAAAAAAAATCCTAAAATATCTCACAAGTGATTTTTACTTCTAACAAACCAAAGAATGTCATCCTGTTTAAATACCAAGATTTATTTATTCATAGTTAATTATAGGGCATTTCCATTGATACAACCCTTAAGACGTATAGCTAGGCTACGTGGTGGTAAATGTGCATTGGTATCTTTTCTTCATTTCCTTTTAAGTACAGAGATCAGCTCTTTGTCAGTCGTCACTCAGATAGACTCTTATCACTACTCCTTCTGACACACCCTCGATCATTGTTTCAAAAGCATGACATCACCTGGTAGCTCCGTACAAACACACACAAAGACACACACACACTCATCATGACTAAGACAATGACCTCAGACTGAAAGAGGCCATAAAGTCGACAATAAGCTGCATGCCTGAAACAGCGGGTCAGCTGATAATTTACAATGTGGTGAGCAGATTTAGAGGTGCTCATCGCTCACTATAGATACAGACTGAACGTCAATGATTGATGATTTTTAAATACAGGCTGTAGATTATTCTTTTAAACACGTCCGCATACTCACTTTCTGTCCATCAAATAATTAGGCTACAGTTTCTCTTATTTATTCTGAAAGAACGCTCACTTAACGCTCATTAATGCTGTGAAAATGTAATCTTTATGCTACCATTTGTTTTTGCTTTTGTAGCTCATAAAGATTCATCACTATTAATTTCAGTCTGTTTCATAAACAGTTAAAATCTCCTCATAGGAGCTTTAATGGAAAAAGGGTCCCTCCTGTCCCCTGTTGGGAGTTTCTCTGGCGACAGTTTATTTCCTCTGCAGAAAACAGACTGCAGCTCGTAGCTCTTCCTTTCACTGGAAGAGTGAATCAGCAAATACTTATTTAGAACCAGAAACATAGCATGGACAGTAAAATGTCTATTTGCATTGCATAAGGAAGGAGGCAGGAACAGTCTCTGTACAGGGCAGAGTGTTCTCTGGATTCTGCAGAAACCAGACAGACTTTAATAACCAGCTTTAACATGAGAAAGTCCCATAAATCAGCCTGGGAGGGTCCTGTCAGGCTGTATAACAGGAAGTCTGGCTGTAGTGTCACATAGTAACTCATTCTCAATCAGACTTTTTAAGTGTCTTTTAAAGTGTTTGTATGGATTAAAGTTGTTGTTTTAAATCATTATAGTAGTTTAAAAAATCATCAGCTTTCCATATTTTCTGCGACTGTCTCTTGAGAGGTGCCCCAAGGCTCCATCTTGGGGCCTTTTCTATTGTTTTTATAAATGTGTCTACTGGTGTTTCAACCAGCTTAATGTTGCTTAACTGATGACACACAGCTGAAGTTCCTCTTGAAACCTGGAGAAACATGACCTTTGTTTCTTTGTTTCTTTGAGATTACACACGCTATACGTTTACTGTCATTTAGCTGCAGTTAACCGTGAGATGGTTTCTTTTCATTAGCTCAAAACATTTCTTTAAGGATTTACTCACTTCTCTTTTGTTGAAGTATCTTCAAGGTGTAAACTTTGGCAGAAATGCAGAAATTAACCTCTAAGTCTTTTGAAAAGTAGTTCCAAAGGCTAAAAGTTCCTTCTTATTTCTCTGGAAATGTGCCCTTTAGATGTTCTCACCTTATCAGGAATCATAGTTTTGTTTTCAAACAAACCAGTGAAACCTTTGGGAGACAAGATTGTCTTTTTGTTTATGTTCCCATCGCTGGAAAATTCACCCTGCTCCATGTGTGACAGCCGTCTTCCTGACTAACCCTGACGGATAAATCAGTGTTTCCATTCTGTGATTGTGTTTCTGTCTGGAAAATGCTCAATGAAAACAGAACATGGTGTTTATGTAGTCAGATTTCCTGCTTCACATGTTAGCTATGCTCTGATTCTACAGGTCAGCAGGAAGTGAAGCACTGTGATCTCAATGTGTGTGTTACATCTCAGAGCTCATGTACCATTTTTAAAGTCAAATCTAATACTTTTTAAGACCCCCAAAACATTGAAATTATCTTTTGGATATAAAAGAGAAGTAATTGAGTCCTAGATCTGAAAAAAAAGATTGAACCTGTTGTCCACCATCTCCAAATTTTAGACCTACACAAATTTACATTAAGTCAATAGATCATTATTTAAGATGTTTTTTATGGCTGTCATTTAGCTGATTTTAATTTAAGAACATTACAGACTTTTTAAGGACCAACGGGAACCCTAGTTTTAATATGTGTGTCAGCTGACCTTTGTGAGATAGTAGACGGACTGCTGGAATGTGAACATGATGACTTCCTCCAGGACTGTCATGGCCTCCTCACAGGCTGTCCGAGTGTTGGAAATCTCAGAGTCCAACACAGCTGCTGCACATACAAATGAATATTAAATACACATTAACTTAATATACAAATACACTGCGGCCCAGACAGTTGTGACAGCTGCGTTAAAGGCCTGACCTTCATCCTCCGGCCTGCAGAGTAGCTGGGGAACCTCGTGCTGGATGAAGTGCAGCAGTTCAATGGAGTTGGACATCCAAAGCATGAGAGGCTGCAGACCTGGGATCAGCTCCGACATGCTGAGAAGCTGAAGGGTGTCAGGCTGAACGTCAGCAGGGCTCCTGATAGAGAAACACAGAGAATAAGATACAATAAGATATGTCAAACATGCTTATGAATATTAGTAGCCATCACCCAGATGCCAATCACTGGAGCAATGCAAAAGAAAACAGGTGCATGACAACTGATCCCAGCTGTTTTCAAAAACCTTGGTTTGTTCAAGCAGAGAGGTTCAAAGACATTACAGAAGATCGTTATTTTAAGGCTCAACACCCAAAGTCAGTAGTCGAGGACTCTACTGCTTCAAGCCTCGTTACAATGTCCCATCAAGTGAGTACATAAGCCAGTCTGTCTCCCTTCACTGGTGTACATGAGCAGTGAGTAAGCAAAAATAACTGCTGCGCCCGCTGTTAACTACCAAACGATGGTTTAACTTCTAATTATGTTTGTTGTGACAGCAGAGTTCAGTGTGACTTCAGGGTTCATCAGAAAACTTTATTTTTTTAATCAAAAACTCTGACAGAAAAAGACTCAGGACAACCCCCTCCTTTAACTTCCTCTAATATTTCTGCAAGTCTGCAAAATGTAAAGTGCAGAGTCACTTCCCACACAGTATTTAGACACTATTAATGTTTTTTTTCCAGTTCTGAATTAACAACTCAAAGTCTCTGCTGGAAAAAAAACAAGACTTTCCAGATAGTTTTGTTGCTAAAAATGCTTTACTTATCAGCTGATGAATACATTAGTAAATAAATTTTTTGAACTCAATATATTAAGTGTGAGACGTTTTGTTTTTTCCCACACCAAAATTTGATATGAGCATTTTCGTTACTGTAAAGAGAACAAATAATTGATGGGTTCATGGTTCAAATAATGATCAGTTGTAGCCTCTAACACTTCAGTCCCTCCTTTATTTGAACTGTACCCCTCACACATTTGGTGATGAAGCTCGTACACTCAGCGTTGGTGAAAAACACTCTCAGCTTCTCTCTGACAGAACCGACTGTGGGAAATTCTCTCTTTGCACATCCTGTATTTAAAACCCTCTTTGTCCTCTAAGTTGTAAAATCAGACTCTAACTCGTCTTTTATTCAAACAGTAAAACTGAAGGGGTTGGGTGTCATATATCATCGTGTGCAGCAGCTGCTCTGCTCTCTGTGTCGCTCTCTGCGTCATTTGTCGAATATTTCAGGGACGATCTGAAAAAACACTGGATGCTTCTTACTCACGTTTCTGGCTGAATTGCTGCGAGTTCTTTTGTCTTCTCCTGGGAAATGAAAAAGGTAAAGACAATATCAGTTTCATTCATGTCAGCATACTGATGTACATCATATTCCACCCTGATGGCACATTTGATCACTTTCTCTCACACTCACTCAAGCTATTTTCACACATGCACTCCTGAACATTTCTGGAGTATTTCAGCGCAGCCTGTCCCTGAAATCTTCCAAACATGTCCCTTACAGCCACAAGTTTCCCTGTCAGACTGTGTTGAGTCTCAGGAGGCAGGACAACGTGAGAGCAACCTTGAGGAAATCCAAGATTACGTACGAAGCGACCCTTTCCGACTCTACGTAGTATCAACAAATGAGTTTAAATGAACATACTGGTGAGCAGGACAGAGTAGGAATCAGCTTCATTACGTGCTCATCATCAACAACATCAACCCGTCTGCTTGCTCACAGTAGATTTTCCAGAACGAACCCTTCAGTGTACACATGCTCACTTGAACTAAAAGTGGAAAAAGTCCAGGTAAAGTCAAGATAAAAAATCTAGCTGTTTGCGTTCACACATGTAGCTCAACCAATACATTCTCGGGAAATTCTCAGGAGCTGTGAGCAAAAGCAAAGCCTGATCCTCACCCACATCACCAGCTGGATCCGGTTGGCAATTTGGAGCAGCAGCTGTCGGAGGTGAGTCAGAGGGAAGCTGGAGGCCGAGTGCTGGATGCACAGGCTCAGCAGGAAGGCAGGCGTCAGCTTTGGTTCGTTTCCACTTGGGTCCAACATGTCCATAACCTCCTGCAGGACCCGTTCCTCCTGATCGAGCTCATAGACTAGCAGAGCCTCCGTCCCCTCCAGGTCCCTCCACCGAGGCGGTAAAGACCTTCTCCGGAACCTTCTGATACCCACAGAGGAACCACAGGATAAACAGGAAGTCTTAGTGTCAGAGTTCAGGCAGAGTCTGCTCATCCAGTGGGGGGTCTGCCGGGGTCCTGAGGTGCTGGTCGGATCCTTAAACAAGAACAGGTAGTGTTCCCCCAGACCCACCAAGTCCCCGGGGTTCAGCTCCTGCTCCTCTTTCAGGAGGAAACCATTTCTGGTGACAGGAGCTCCGTGGAGGGGCTTCAGCAGGGTCAACGTCTTTCTGTGCTCCCCCGTGGACGTCGGGATGGTAGAGTCCAGGCGTCGGACGCAGCAGTGCTGAGGTAACACGTCAGGAGCAAAGAGCAGGATGTCCACCTTCAGCCTCTCCTCATCCTCACCCGTACAGTGCTCCCTGCAGCAGCCGAAGATGGTGCTAGTCCCACTCATCAGGTAGATCACAAAATCCTGCACAAAGAAAAATCAAAAAAGATTTTTGTAATACAGGACACTAAAAAGATTTTTGTAATGCAGGACACTAAAAAGATTTTTGTAATGCAGGACACTAAAAAGATTTTTGCAGTCAGTTAAGTTTTGATTTTCAATAAAAATTAATTTAACATAATCTTAAATTCAAACTGATTCGAGGTCAACATGTAGCTTTTGTAGACATTAAGTGTCAATTTAAGAAAAGTGAAAGCAGGAACACAACTTGACAACAATTTGACTTACCGGTACCTTAAACTATGGTCGTCAACACCTGGACTAGCTTGACATTAGCTTTACAAATCTTGACTTGCTCAAAAACAACCCGTCCAGTTTGACATTAGCTTGAAACAACTTGATGAGAGCTTGAAAACAACACAACTAGTTTGACGAAAACCTTCACTAGCTTAACGACACTTAGCTCGACAACAACTTGACTAGTTTGGCGACACCCTGACTAGCTTAAAAACCACTTGACTAGTATGACAACAACTTTACAAGCTTAAAACAACTTCACACCTTACAACAGCTGGGCCAGCTTGACACCAACTTTAGTAGCATTACAAAAAGTTAAATAGCTTGATATACCTTGACCTTGCTTTAAAATAACTCACACTAGCTTGACTAACAACTTGACAACTTCGACACCACCGTCACTCACATTACAACAAGTTTACTAGCTTGCTAATGCTTGACGCTGCTTTAAAACAGCTAGACAAAAGCTTCACTATGGTTGAAAATAACTAAACGATGGAAACCATAGCAGTCCTAGACCAAATAATGGTTGGCTTAACCACCGTTGCTTGGGAGTTTAACAGCCAACGGGTTAAGGCCAGAGTTATTTTATGACGTTAAAAATTGTATTATATCCCTTATTGGGGAAGCAAAAACCAAGACATGTTTGACAATAACCGAGACAATCTAAAGCTCCCGTTTAATCCAATTATCTTAAAGAACAGTCTCTTCCTGTTGAAAGTGTGTGTAAGGGATGGGATTTTGTTCTTGTTGTGTAACATTTTGGAAACGATCCAGTCATGTGCGTGTGAACAGCAGCGGGATCAGCTGACGAAAGGACAACCTGCAGACGCAGCGTGAGGACACACAGGAACGGTTCGGCTTATTAGAGAGACGCAGTGATGTCAGTGACCTCGGGGTCACCACATTAAGAGCATTAGCGAGGACATGATACGGTATCACCAGGAGCATGACTCTGACATGTCTGCACAGCTCTACTTCCAGTGGTTTGAATGTGAACATGTCCAAGTTCCTGTCCTTCTGTGACTGAAAACTAATGATCTTTGGGTTGTGTACAAAATAAGACATCTAAGGACTGTGTCATGCACTGGGACAAACCACATCTTTTACAAGGATCTAACATTTCATAATTATGAAGCTTGCTTAGGTTACAAGACAGGCGGACTCAAAAATAAAATAAATGAATAAATAAAAGGCAAACTAGGTCGAGTCTGCATCCTCAAATCGGAGAACAACACAGAGAACATGACATCTTTACTGATGTGGCTTATTTTGAATCATTACAGTCAGATTCAGCCATTACGCTCGTGGGTTTCTCCACGGATTGCGTGAGTGTGAATGTGAGTGCGCCCTTAGTCATTTTGTCTAATTCTTAGGAACTATTTTCACTGCATCATATACATATTCACGCAATGGAATTATTTGTTGTCTTTAATTGGCTTTTACCTTTAAAAAATAATAAATAAAAAGTGTTCAAAGGACTTCCATGTATCAAATTAAAAATCATACCTTCTTGGAAAACCTGTCATTCATAATGATGACTTAGCTCTCAGGGATAGAACCAGACTGGCCTTCAGGAAAATTAAACTTGCAGGTTCAACTGGAGCAAAGAAGACAATAATACAATCTTGCTTCTCTCAACTCCTTCGTTGGATAAAAGTATTGTTGAACTACTTTAGAGGTACTCTTATAGAAAGATCATTACTATCCACTATACAGGCTCGGGACTTCCTTATCTCTGTTCAGTTCCTCTTTTTCCTGAACAGATGTGAGATTTAGATAGATATGTGAACACTGCTGAACAACAGTCTTGTCTCGATGTTGTCTTGACAGTTGTAGAGTTAGATCAGCCTGCTGCTGGTCTCTCTGTTTCCTGCACAGTCAGCTATCTCTCAGCAGAGGTGATGTGAGTGAGATCAGTCTTCCTTTTCGGGAAGGAGCCGACCCGAAGCCACAGCCTGACTCTCTGGTTTCCTGTAATACATGTACGGGGCTGAGCATTCAAACTGCATCGCGCCTCAAATGAGACGTGCTGGAGGACATGTTTCTGATATCTGAAGTGGTACTGGTTTAAAGATTGTAGCAGTCAAAGTGTTTGTTAGCTTAAGTTCTCTCTGCTTTTTGTCCTGCTTACAGTGTGCCTGATCATGGTTATCTCCTGTTGTAAATGTCCTCAGCTGATATCTTCCTCTCTGTATGTTGAACAGTCTGTCTCGTCATGTGGACATGCTGACAGACAGCTCGTTCGTTGCGTGTCTACAGGACAGCGTCAGTCTGTGTCAGAGTAGTTCTGAGAAGTCCACAGTGTTTTCTTTCCTCTTCCTGTAAAATCTCTGCTCTCTGACTCTGGATTTTCTCCTGCAGCTTCTTAAGAACAGGAGAGTGTTGGATTGAAGGTCTTAACACCCTGGTGTCTCGGCTAAGCTCTTGTTTGTGTGCACCTGCCAACAAACTGAGCAGACTGTCATTGAAGCCAGTACAGACGAGGAGACGCTTCTTCAAGAACAAAGCGTTCAAACAGCAGTTTAACCTACAGGTAGCTCAGAGGAACCTTAGTCTAGAATGTGCTTTGCGTTTATATATTAGTCATCAGGCGGTTCTTTGTAAAACAGGAACCCTTTTTTGAGGCGCAGTATTTCTGTCCCTCTGACGTTTGACCTTCAATCTGAATGTCGCGGAGGCGTAAGGCCAGAGTCGTTTCAGGGGCGAGAAGGATCAGCTGAGCCAGCAACGGAGCGCAGTGCTGTGTGTGTGTGTGTGTGTGTGTGTGCAGGTCTGACTGTGTGTGTATGTGGAGCTCCCGCTGTGCCGTGCTTCTGCCACGCTGAAGCGCAATTTGAATTCACACACTGAATATTACGACATCATAGAATCAAAGTACAAAGATGTTCTGAGCTTAGTTGCGGAAACGCAGTCTGAAGTCAGCTGGGGATTTCTGCATTATAATACATCTCTCGCCCCGAGTGTGGAGAGGGAGTTTTAAATACATGAATCTGATTGAAATCTTATTCCCATTTATCAATATAAAACCATTATTGATTCTGCCCCTCCCCCCCCCCCCCTCACCTGTCTGTGGCTGTAGCCTTGCAGCAGGAGGAAGTAGGGGAAGTCGAACGGCGGGTGGATGGAGTACTGGGTGGTGTTATCGTCGCTGCTCTCCGTTTCCTCCTTCTCCAGGCCGAGTCTCAGCTCCTCCTTGTCGGCTTCGGCCTCACCGTCCTCTCTGAGGGCGGAGCTCTGCCGCGCCCGCTCCGCCTCTTTCCCCATGGCGGGCAGGTCCATCTCGCTCAGACTCCTCCAGATGCCGAGTCCGTCCACGTCATTCTCACTGCCGTCCACGAACAGAGACGTCACCCTGCTGCGGCCCCTCTGCAGCTTACGGGCCTGAGCGTTGATCCCTGATGGAGCACAAGACGAGGAACGAGGACAAGTCAATACTGAGAAACAGAGTTTTTAATTAATCTGAATATCTACGTGTTACAATCTTTCATGCAATGTCAATTTGGATCTCTGTTTGCTTTTGTGCATCATTTACAGTCTGTTTCTTAACCAGCTAAAAAAAAGTTATTATAGGGAGCTTTAACATTGAGTTTCCTGCATTTCTCAGTTTTAGATGTTTAACTTTAAATTTTGATTTTTAAGATTCTGAGAAACTGTTATAGACATTTGTAGCACCATTTTTTCACATTTAGAGAAAAATGGAAACGTGATTGGCCTACTCAGGGATAATAAAAGACAATGAACAGAAATGTTAGTTACAGCCCGGCAGTGAATAAAAGATGGAGTCTGTTGCATATAGAGAATAAAATATGGATGTATGCAAAGACCAAGAAGGTAAGTAGTTACTGAAATGACGTTGAAGACTAAAATCCATAGACCAAACAGAAATAAATAAGAGAAAAAGCCCCTGTTGAAACCCCTCTGGTCAAACAGTGTTCTGGCTTCAGTTCAGATGAAACATGAAGCAGAGGAAGGAGAGGAAATGTGCAGGAGAGGGAGGTGATAGCAGCGCTCGGATCCGACTGACGTAACACAAACACCATTCAGCTGGTTTGGAGCAGACTCCACACCCGCCACTCTGCTCCGCTTATCAGCTGTGAAAACCAGAGTGCTCCATATTGTTCAGCAGAGCCTGAAACACGCACACTGTGGAGGGGAACGTTCGTGTCCCTGATCCGTGAGAGCATAGGAAGGTGGACCCCACCTGAAAGATCCACTAGGAACTTTTCACGTTTTTACTACCGATTTCAGGCTGCAGATTTTGAAATTATTCAGTTCCTGTGCATTAGGACCATTATTGGAAACTATAACGTTCACTTAAAAACCCAGATATGACTTCTGTGTCTTTGAAAATAACTAGCTGGAAAAAGCTTGGTACAAAGTCCGGAAACAGCTTTCCTGGCTCTTGCCATGGGTAACAAAATTCTCCTTCAGCACTTAAAATTTTAAGCACCAACACATTTAATCTTGTTTGTTTAATCCGCACAAAAAACTACGAGTAAAACCAACACTTTCCTGTTTCATGGGCGATATGTGCCAGACTATTTCCTGGTATTTTTGCTGCTCAGGGCCAAGAAATAGTTTGAAACAAGAAACTTCCTTGAACTGTTGTTGTCAAACTTCAGTTTCTGTATGGACAGAATAAACAAGATAGGGTGTTAATCACAGAGCTTTAGAGACGCAGCAGAGCCAGGCTAGCTGTTTCCCCCTGTTTCCATTTTAAGCTAAGCTAAGTAGCTGCTGGCAGAGGAGCACTGTTTCAGAAAGTTATTTGGATTTGCCGTGTCTGCCCATTGGTAAACCACAGTCTGCTGTAAAGTTTGTCGGAAGTCTGAGGCTTCTAAAAGCAACAACACAATATGTTTATTCCAGCTTTTCATACAGCGGCAACCAGCTTAAAAGCTGCGCTAACATGAGACAAATCATTTTCCAAAAGGCTGGTTTATAAAATATTGCATAGTAGGCCTGCACAATATGAGATAAATATGTAATTTACAATCTCATAACTATAAGAATTGAGATGAACAAACTTAAAGAGTGTAACTCAAAGTCTTTGTCCAGCTGTTCTTTATGTTTTTACATGTTTGTGTCACACTTTTCCAGTCTTCTGACTACTCAAAGCGCTTTCTCTACCACATCAACACACCGATGGCAGAGGCTGCTAAATTAAGTGTCCATCAGTATTAGCCAATCCATTCATTCACATTCACACACCGCTGACGCAGCAGCGGGACAAAGTTGTGGATAAGTGTTTCACCCAAGGACACATTGACATGAGAGACGCCCATCTCTACCACTGAGCCACAGCCCATGTCAACACAATACCATTTCAAAAAGCATTTATTTCACCACTTAATTACAAATGAATCTGAGGGGAACTGATAGCTAGCTTGAGCTTCATCTGACTGCATAAAGATGGTGTGATAGCATGAATGACGCAGGTCTCAATGGATCAAATTTAAGCAGGTTAAGTGTGAAATAATTACCATTTTACTTTTACTGAGGATCTGTTTTTTTACAACAGATTTATTATTATTATTATTATTATATTATTTTACAAACACGTGGTATTGAAAGGTATGGAAGCGTTGAAAAATCATGCCAAACCTAACACACAGATACAATTTAACGTCTGAATCCTGTTTATATGAAGCCGCAATCAGGAGGAATTTCCAACACATCAGTGGGACCAAGAATAATAGTGATAATAAACATCGGTGAGGTAACACAGGGAGAAACACAACAGACCTGTGCCAGAGTCAACACGGTCGCTCAGAGCGCAGTGAGCAGGAAGTGAAGCTCTGACTGAAAGAATAACAGGGCGAGTGGACACACTGAGAAGGGGGGAGCTGCCTCCAGGTTTCACGGGGGCCCTAATGGAGGGGCCCTTGCAATAAAACAAAGATAAGAGAGGGGGCCACAGTGACCTCCCGCGTCCCTCCCTGCTGCTTTTGTTCCTCCAGACCTCCCTCTCTCTTCTGCTCTCCCCGCTGATAAGCTGCACAATGAGGTTGTAGGAGAGCAGGAGAAAGGCTCCCCATGTCACACAGACTCAGTGATTTATAACCAGGAGTAGAGATGTTAGGGTCGCTTGTGTTTATCACTGAGGATGGTTTGATGTGCGGCCCAACCTCTGGTCCCTGAAGCAGACCAGGGACAGGACATGTGAAGGTGTTACCCTCGTATTTACCTGCTGTAACGGTGTCTCTGTCCTTTAAGCTCTGCTCCTCTACGCTCGCTCTCAGCTGGATTTCAAAGCGTCTGGAGAATCCTTCCTTTGGCTTCCACAGTGACTGCAGCATGAGGGGCTTCTCGTGGTCTCCCACCACCCGGAAACACTCCCTCCTCCACTGGTTGACTGTCCCCGTCTGTCCGATCACATCGCACAGTACGTAGTCGCTGGGGTCTTCTTTTTCCAAACAGTACCTGAAGAACAAGATAAGACGTTGAAACAGGAGGACAAATAGAAGGGGTGGGGGTTTTTAACCTTGTAAAACAGATATAAGGAAGAATGCAGTAGATGGGCAGATTGGATAACCACTGTTTATCCACATTGAAATATCTTAACAACCATAAAGTTGATTGGCATGGAATTTGGGATACAAACTTAATTTTCTTTCCAGGATCAATTCTAAAAACTTTAGAAATTTGCTTTATTTTGGTGCAGTACCATCATGACATCAAACTGACGTTTTGGAAGCCCCTCCCCCTCACCTCTCTAAGGCCTCCTTCAGCAGCTCCTTAGCACTTGACTGAGTGGTGGCCAGCACGCTCTTATAGTTTGCCCCCTGACAGATGTCGCTACCAAAGATCTTGAGGATGCCCGGTACGGACATCTGACTGGATAGCTCCGCTGGGTCGTCCGCAGCCTGTATGTCACCGGCCAGGCTGCCTCCACTGGGCGGCGTGCCTTGGCGTCCCCTGTCCCGAAGGTTTGGACTGTGGTTGAAAACGTTAGAGAGCCTGTTATTGTGGCGGCGGATTTTGCTCTTGGCCGGCTGCCGGACCACCACTCTGTCTGAGGATTGGACAATGCTGTCCGAGTTACTGGACCTGACAGGGAACAGAGGAGGAAACCCGATGAAACAACTTTAAACATGCATGATGGGGTGATCATGAAACAAAAATGTTTGTATTTGTAGTATAAGGCTCCCGAAAGGAGTTAATCCCAGTGTGTGAATGTCCACAGGGATTTTAATGGATTAATACAATGGTGGCTGAAACTTTGTCTATGTATAGACTAGGGCTGGGCGATATGGACCAAAACTCATATCTTGATATTGTTTAGCTGAATGGCGATACTCGATATATATCGATATGTATTTTAATAACAGTGAAAACACATGGAAAATAAACTACCTGTTTGTGAATTTAAAAGGTAATATTATAAAATAAAATTGTTCCTTAAATACAATAAAAGAGAGAGAGAGAGGAGGAGCAGGGTAAAGAGGAACAGACAGTCAGTCATCATCATGAGATGAGAAAAAGGTGACCTGGCACCTCTGTAACGTTATTTTAATGCAACTTAAACTATATCGATATTAACGATATTGTCTGACCCTATATCTTGTTTGAAAATATATCGATATATCTTAAAAACTCGATATATTGCCCAGCCCTAGTACAGACCTGTTCAATTTGTATACCACCTAATATTTTCAGAAAATAACTATGGCAGAAGTGCATACAACATAAAGAAAGGCGGAAACTGTTAATTAACTTAAAAAAAATGGAATGGTTGAAACATTAGCAAAATCACATAAAGCAGGCTTAAATGCACCTTAAAATACATCTGTACAATATTTAAGATTTTATGCCACTTTCCCAATAATATATGCATTTCTGGAGCATATCATGACATATTTAATCAATATCATGTTACATTACAAAATATCAAAAATATCTATTTAACAGGTGCTGTTTTTAGTGCCAGAATAATTAACACATTATGCAGACAAGAGTGATATTTGATCAAATAATGCACCTATATTCTGAAAATTAAAAAGTGTTTTTGTTACTGTATTTTCATTTTAAAATTAGCTTTTTCATCTGAATCATGATACAAATTTAGCGGGGCATTTTTTTTTAAAATAATAAAGCAAATGTCATTTTCTTCTTCATTTTAATTTAGTCAAAGAATGTGAATTTTTGAAGTTGAAAACTAAAATTCAAGTTAGATAAATGAATCATCGTTTTATTTTTGAGTCAAATAATACACTCATACATTCTGAAAATTAGAAAGCATTTCTGTGAAGGCATTGTCATTTTTGAATTAGCTTTATCATTTGAATTTTAATCACTAATCGCTTCCATAATAGACCACGTTACTGTGCATAAACAATTTATTTTTATTTTTTTAAATTTTATTGGTCAATTTTATTTCATTCAAAGAAACAATAAAGTTAAGAAAAACAAACAAACATAAAATCTCAAATTTTGAATGAAAAGGAGCAGAAAGAAGATTAATCTTATGATATCTGCCCCTCTTTCACAAAACATTAATTAAATCAAAACAGAACACTTCATTCAAAAACAATTTAAATTAAATTTAAAATAAATTTAATTTAATTAAATTGGCTGCAGGCAAACACAGCCACTGGCAGCCCCATTGTAAGTCCTCCTTAACAATTCATTATGCACCGTACAAAGTATATCACAATAAACTTTTGTTACAGCATCACGAAACAAAACAGTATCTCTCTGACATATTTCCACATATTTATTCAACAAACTGACTTTAATTTTTCTTTTAAATATCATGTTTGATTTGACAATATATCTTAAATGGTCATAAGTTAAGAGGAAGCACCTCACACTATTTAATATTGATTATTTATAGCCTATAGTAATCAGTCCTACATATTGGGGTGTGTACTTACTGCAGAGATCCATTGCTGGGTTTCCTCCCCAGTTTGGCCAGGCGCTTCTTTGGAGAGCGGATAAGTAAACCCACAGGGAAGTTCAGAGCCTGTTTATTAACGTGACTGCTTCTCTCCTCCGAAATCATCATTACTTTTAGTCTTACATGAACAAAACTGTTAAAATATCAATACGAGAATGAAATGAACATTAGGCAATTCGCCGGTAGCCTGGCTGAAGGGGAGAAAAGTAGCCCAGAGAAATTTCCACTTCCGACAGTTAAATCCGCATGAATCACGAAAAGGTCTCCAACCCTTTATATTCAGGAGAGTTTCAGAGTAAGTCAAAGTGTTGGTGGATGAGATGGTCTTGAGTTACATTCCCACACAAGTTAGAGGAAAAGCGAAAAAGAGCCGATTATTCAAATCAGTTTTCGGTGACATAGAATCCAAACAGAGCTTGAAATGAAGTCGAGACATTTTCACTCCAGTTCCCCCCTCTTCCTGACTGAGGAATACACGTTTTCTCAAGTCCGTTTTAGTCCTTTGGTTCCAAGCGGTCCGGGAAGCTGGAGGGGACTGAATGAACAACCTGCTGCTGGAGACACGAGCCACTACAAGTGACGTCACTTCAACTCCACACGCCTGGGCCGCGAGGAGGCGGGGGAAATCATACACACTCATACACACTCATACACAGCCATACACACTCATACACAGCCATACACACTCATACACAGCCATACACAGCCATACACACTCATACACAGCCATACACAGCCATACACACTCATACACACTCATACACAGCCATACACACTCATACTTAGACTTAGACTTTCTTTATTGTCATTCAAACTTGTACTTTACAGTGCAGACAAGAACGAAATTTCGTTGCATTTGGCCCGTTGTAGTGCAGGATTAAAACATTTACATATAAAAAATAAAAATAAGGTGCAGATATAAATAGATATAAAAAGAAAAACTATGAGTAAAATACACACTCATACACACTCATACACACTCATACACACTCATACACAGCCATACACAGCCATACACACTCATACACACTCATACACAGCCATACACAGCCATACACACTCATACACACTCATACACAGCCATACACACTCATACACACTCATACACACTCATACACAGCCATACACACTCATACACACTCATACACACTCATACACAGCCATACACACTCATACACAGCCATACACAGCCATACACAGCCATACACACTCATACACAGCCATACACAGCCATACACAGCCATACACACTCATACACAGCCATACACAGCCATACACACTCATACACAGTCATACACACTCATACACACTCATACACAGCCATACACACTCATACACAGCCATACACACTCATACACAGTCATACACAGCCATACACACTCATACACAGCCATACACACTCATACACACTCATACACAGCCATACACACTCATACACAGTCATACACAGCCATACACACTCATACACAGCCATACACACTCATACACAGCCATACACAGCCATACACAGCCATACACACTCATACACAGCCATACACACTCATACACACTCATACACAGCCATACACACTCATACACAGTCATACACAGCCATACACACTCATACACAGCCATACACACTCATACACAGTCATACACAGCCATACACACTCATACACAGTCATACACACTCATACACACTCATACACAGCCATACACACTCATACACACTCATACACACTCATACACAGCCATACACACTCATACACAGCCATACACACTCATACACAGCCATACACACTCATACACACTCATACACAGTCATACACACTCATACACAGCCATACACAGTCATACACACTCATACACAGCCATACAGTCAGATCCAGTAGGTGTCGCCCTTGAGCACCAGCATAATCACTTTATTTATTTATATATAGCACCTTTTAAAAACACAGGTTTACAAAGTGCTTTGACAAACAGCAAAAACAAGAACAAAGCAAACTAAAGCAAACACAGAAGAACATAAACAACAGCAAGAACATAACAAATGCAAAATACTAAAAAATAATGAAATACAATTCAACAGAAAAGAACCCAAAGTGCACGATACCCAACAGACATACATAACCCGACCATCACAAGAACCATGATAAGAACCCAGGCAACACAAGAACCATGATAAGAACCCAGGCAACACAAGAACCATGATAAGAACCCAGGCAACACAAGAACCATGATAAGAACCCAGGCAACACAAGAACCCAACAACACGAGCTGAGACCAAGAGGAACCAAAGATTTAAAAAGATGTAAGAAACTAAAAGAGCTAAAAGCAAATAAAAAGATAACAGCAATAAGAAGGTAAGAGCAGTAAAATAAATAGAAACAAGTGGTTAAAGGATCAAAAATAACAACAACTATTATATTAATAAAAATAAAAAGTAAATATAAATATGAAACATAAATAGACAAAGTAAGATAAGAAATTACCAAGTTAAAACACAAGCATGCTAATGCTAGCGATCTTTATTATTCTGGTATCTTCACACTGCATGTAAATTTAAACAATAAAACAACTTTTATTTACGAGGGGAGGAGTCAGCCACCGTCCCAGCGATGTAAACAAACTGAGGATATGACTCGGAAAACTCTGAAAACATCACAGACAGTGGGACTCGGGTGTTACACCCATTGTAGACAGTCATGACTCACAGAGTTATTTTCAGAGGATATACTTGATTTCTATTACATTCAAGTGTGAAAAATCACATATAAAGCCTTTAAGCTAACATTATTAACAGGCTGATGTAAAAGGTAGCTTTAAAGAACGTTCAAGCCAGTGCTACCAATCCAAGCTACCTGACAATAGACCTGTTTTATTTGTTGCTAGCATCTTTATAGATGAATAAATGGACAGATTGAGGTCGTTTGAGGCCCTGAATTGGCCTGTTTTAAATATGTCTGCTGTAAGCCAATGAACTGTGAAACATTGGCACTAATAGTGGAATATTTGGCCTGAAAAGCATTTAAATTCTGAGCCTTCTTTTGTAGAAAAAAAACATAAAGGGTCCAAAACATAGTTGCAGGAACATCAAAATGTAGAAAAATTGAGGAAAAACTCACAAAATAATTTGGGAAAATGATATGTAAAATAGTTGTGTACAACTTTGTAATAGGCAGTTCACCTTGAAGATTGAGTCCTGATGCATAGGTATATCACTAACTCCATCTAGTGGTGGTGAAGGTGAACTGTCACACAGCTGCAACACAGCATGTTATTAACAAGTAGCTGCAGAAATCAATGATACAGACTAACAATTTGTCTGCCAGCTATCAGATTAATAATGTACTGCTATTCAATATGAATGTTTACAGACATGGAAAGATTAAAGGAAGAATAAGCGATTTTTACACTTAAATGTAGCAGAAAGGAAGTACATCCTCTGAAAATACCTCTGTGAGTCATGACTGTCTACTTAACTATGTTATGGATTAGTTATACAAACAACAGCATGACATTCAAATACTCTAGTAAAGTACAAGAATTGCAAAGTTGTACTTAACCTATTAGTGTGCAGGATTTGGTGCCATCTAGTGGTGAAGTTGTAGAATGCAACTACCTGACAACTGCTGTCCTCTCTCTCCCCTTCCAAGCATGAAATGAAATCTACAGTTGCTTCAAAGCTCTGGAGAAACAGGAAAATAAATGTTCTATGACCAATGTTAAGTTTGTTCAGTCTGAGCTACCGTAGAAACATAATGGTGCAACATGCCACTAATAAGACCTGGTGTAGGATATCTGCATGGCAACAGCTTCATGCTTTTATCACCTGGTTTGGTAATCTCTCAATAGGAGACAAGACTACAATAGGTTGGAGCGCGCTGGTGGCGCAATGGTTAGGGTGCGCGCCCCATGTGTTGAGGCTCTTGTCTCCAGCTGTAGGCCCGGGTTCACCTCCACCCTTGGCCTCTTTCCGCATGTCATTCCCCACTCTCTCTCCCTGGTTTCCGACTCTATCCACTGTCCTATCTCTGCATTAAAGGCACAAAAAGCCCAAAAAATAAATCTTAAAAAGAATACAATAGGTTGCAACACATCATTAAAGTTGCCTGTAAAATCATTGGGGTGTAATTACCTAAACTGTCTCCCCCCTCCAGTAAGAGAGAAGCAGCTCAGAGATATTTATTGCTCAAGGGGTTGAAAACATCTTTTATAACTCACACCGTCAAGCTACTGAATTCTAATGATTAACCTGATGACTAATGATGGGCTTTTATTTGACATACCTCGATTTCCTGTTGTAACTTGATGGACTCTGGTATTTATGTATTGAATTTTTCTATGTTTTTCTAATGTCTGAATCTATGGTTTTTCTAAATGTCTCTTGTTTTCACCTGGCTGCAGGACAACAAAGTTAAAGTTGCATTTCATATTTAATCTGTAACAAATTGCATCATTTCTCCCTCACAAACCTTCTCTCTCTCTCTCTCTCTCTCTCTCTCTCTCTCTCTCTACACACACACACAGTATGAGTTCTTTGTGGTATTGGGTAATATGCTTAGAGGCGGATGTGAGTGAGCTCCACCTGCAGATGCTGTGCACATCAAGTGGTTTTGAAGACAGCAAGATTCAGGTCATCCACACTATGACAAGCTCAGTCTTTAGTCAGTCTGCAAACTGAACCAGTAAACGTCTTTCTGGTAGTGAAAGTCTATTTTTACTGTCTGAAAAATGTATCTTGAGCTTAATAAGGAAACTACAGATAAATGGTGATGAGGAATAGATGAAGCATGAGAAATTGTACAATCAAGAGTCATTCGATGTTTGTTTCATCACTGTATTATATTACAAAAGCAAAAAAACTACATATTCTAAAGAAAGATACAATTAGGCCAGCACGCAAAACTCTTCAATACAGTTTTAAATCCATGATAAGCTTCACCATAATGATTAAACTGAAATTCATGCTGAGAACATTTATGCAAAATGTTGTAAATTGATTCTTCTCAGACCACCAAAATTAATGAAAGATCAATTCAGTTTTATCAGATATTTGAAAATTATTGAAAGCCCCAAATATGCTTGTTCCCCAGGACACTAAACTAATGATAAATATCAAACAGACATGTTTCATTCACATGTCTGATTAGATCTTATAAGCAATATTAATCCACTCTAAAAAAACCCATTATCATTAAGCAAGGTAATTTTAATGTAATCAGATTTTCTGTCCCTGCTACTGCAATTATCTACTGTACAAGGAATTCAAATTAACAATACAGCCATTTGTTTACCCATGTATGAAATGAACAACACACTGCTTTTTTTTCATTCATTTTTCAAAATGACCTTTTTAAAGAAATAATAAAGGTTAAATTTACTGCCATAACATGTAGCAGTCCAACTTTTCATATAGATAAATAAAGACTACAAACAGCATCTGGTGTTTGCATCTTACTTTTATAATGCAAATTAGATAGAATTCAGTTAAATCATGCTGATGTTCTTGTGTTTCATATACATGGGCCAGACATGGCCATCGAACAGGCCGGGGGGGATTGGCACAGTGTAGTTA